AAGCCTTGACAAAGGGCTAGCTTATGATTAGATAGAGATAGTCTTCCATGTACCTACCTGGATCAGACTCTGGCTCTGTCATCGAGCCAGGAGATGGATGCTGTATTATAGTCGGCTGGGGGGTGGAGACATGCTCCAAACCTTGTGGAAGTACACTATGGCTGGTTAGAGATAGCAATCTGTGTACCTACATACCTGGATCAGACTCTGGCTCTGTCGTCGAGCCAGGAGATGGGTGCTGTGTTACGGGGTGTGGCGTCTCTTCCACTTGGCAGGTCGATCTTGTGCGTACAGGTGGGGGGTGCTTGAACCTAGAGTAGAATGCCTACAAATCAATTGAAGACACAATATCCAAGCATACTCACAGCACGTCCGTCCAGTCCGTATTGGAGGGGGTTCCTGGGAGCCTGTATGGAAGAAAACGACATTTAAGTTGCACATATTGATCGGGGTGGGTCTGCCAATATTCCGGGTCGAGAAGCTGATCGTCAGAGGCAGTTAAATGGGGGCTCGTGCTGCTCTCAGTGATGGAATCACTGAGAACAGCATTGTCGAGGTCGATATCAGATGGGATATCAAAGAAATGCTGGACAGCCATGGGTAAGTCCATCACAAAGTTTATACTTAGCCAGACTTATTTGCATGAAGTCAGTGGTAGCACGGTGTAGTACAGAGGTCACGAGTTTGTGGGAAATGTCTCGAGCTGGGCGAACACCAACTGATCGTTATCTCCATCTCCCTCCTTCTCGACAAAGGATGGACCTGCTCGCCAGATCGCAGTCTGGCTTTCTGAGCAGGACTCCATCGAGTCTTTTAGATACCCCTGACATCTCTACGCAGATTGGGATGAGTCGCCAACAGAACCAGTTCAATGCGCTCAACGAATCGCAGTCATTCTTGCATGATAACTTCTTTTCTCATCCATCTCAGGTGTGTTCAATCATAAAACATCTTTCATTTGGCCCGATTGATCGCTTGATTTATGTGGGGTGCGTATATGCACCATGTAGCACCAACAGAACCCCGTTTTCACACGGCGCACACATGATACACGGCACAATGTACGAGACCTGAGATAAATGACTTACAGAACCAGTTGACCAAGGTTACTGCCGAGCGTGACACAATAAAGTAAGTAACAGATGTACCACTATCGTTGTTTGACTTGTTTCTTTTCAGGGCAGTGTTTCATACCCTCACATCTGTGCTGAAATTGCCGGATGACATGGACCCGCTGATGTTCTCACTCACGGACATTGACTCACAAATGAAAGTGAGCAAGGATAAAGGCGACCTCAGGGAAAAATACCCGAAGATCCGCTTCTGGTCAAGGTCCAACTATGAGGCTTTCGCGCTATCACTGGAAGCTCAAGGCATCGACCGCAGGAAAGCCCCATGGCTAGAACTAGAGAACTGGCGACCCTGTTACAGCAAAGACGCTCAAGGCCATCCGTGCAAGTGCTCGCAGTATTTGGGCTGAGCTCGTTCAACGACAGATTGCGCCACTGACATGGACCCGAATAAGTTCATCTGCGAAGGCTCTTGTGTCCAAGTATATGCTCAAGGAACATCCCCTTCTCGGCCTCGATGAGGATGGCTTCAAGCTGGAGATGCTCTGCATCAACGACTATTCAGGGTGGCGCAAGAACCACTTCACACCAAGCAGCGAACTCAAGGGCGCGTCATCAACGAAAAGCGAACCAAAAGAAGAACCTAAGGAGGAGCCGAATGATACGATATCACCACTCGCTACAAAAGGTAATAAGTGCAAGAGCGACCCCGCCCATTCCATGAACGCGCATGCGAAGCGGCCAAAAGGTGCGTTACTTCGTCCGATTTGTGCGGTTTGGGCTGATCACAACAATCCGAGGATGCAATATTACTACAGAATTATCAGCGGAAGAGACGCAGAGCCTAATTCTGAAACCTAGCAACGCAGACATAGGTAGGGTGAACACAAGCATAGATGGGGTGAACGGCAGTATTATTCAGTGCTAACTTCACTGAAGTGACAGTCGACAATAATAGCGAGTCAGCACGACCTCAGCCAGATCCCGTTTTTTCCCAGCCACAAGACGAACTCACAATGACGCCTGTCGTTCCCATGGACGACAGCCTATTGCTCCAACCATGCCGAAGTCCCCTCGATATTCCCCATGGTGTTTATTTACCAATGCCCCGCCGTAGCCATTTGCGGTCCCAATCAAATTCCATCACACGTGGTGAGGCGTCCAAGGCTGCTGGTCCATCCAGCCTGTCTCGCCATAACTCAAACAAAGAGAATGAGTTCCCACTCCAGAATCCTCTGTAAGTGTTTTTCATCACACAGATTGTGAACTGATACTGTTTTCAACTCAGTATGAATGTATTTGGTCCAAATGGAGTCGCAAAGAAGGTGCCACTTGCACCTTCTCAGTCAAAGACGAACATGAACATGGAGTCGTCAACGTTGACCACCTCAGTAAAAGGGGAAAAGAAAACTAAGATGTGACCTGGCGCAGCAAAAAATGTGAGGTATGTCTAGTATCTATCTCGTTACAATACTAACTATACATTTTCTAGAAACCTCTGCGCACTTAGGTGGCACAAACATATCAATTCGACTGGGACGACCAAAGAATTCCGCGTGTACTGGGATGGATTGACAGCGGAGACACGAGAGAAGTATCGCCTTGAGGCTGAGCGCCTTCAGAAGGATGGAACGTGGACAAAACCATCCGACCCAGCTGCCTGCAACGGTACAATATTTTAGACGATGCAGGTGCTTCTCACTTTCATTCGTGCTTGGCTTAATGTTGTCACAGGTGTCTCTCAATTGTCGCCTGCACCCTCCGTCGCACTGTTTCGCTGTACCCGCCATTCGTGAGTTCTCGACTGCCAACTCGATGCCTCGTTCGCGCTGCCGCCCTGCTGTGGCTGCCGCTTTATTGCCCGCTCTCCTCTGTTGTTCCGTTTTGCTGTACCTTCCATCCTGGGTTTCTCGACTGCCAACTCAACGGCTCGCTCGCGCTCCTGCTCTGTTCTGGCTGCCGTTTTATTACCCGCAGGTATTGGGGCACGTGTACCATGTATAATATGGGCACGTAGTGTAAATTGTATTATTGGACTGCACCCGATGGGACCGGAATGGAATTTGTTGCATTCTGACCCAATATGTGTGAATCTGGTGAGACCGGAACGAGAGAACCCTAATCCAATCCAGACAGATGCACACCGCTGTCATCATATTTATGCTACAGACAGAGAGGTAGCTACTATCTGCTGAGATCTGTCAGGATCGGATCATGAGTACCAAAATCCTACGTCACCCAATGTCGGCCTGCCTCGCCGTGCAATATATGCGTTGATTCCAGCTCGCACCTGATCAAAACGGATATTTTGCTTACCAATCGACCCCGTCAGATCTCGCCCGACTAGAGCCGCCCTCATCCTGGTAAGTTTTGACTGGGCTTAATCGACGATGCCGACTGGTAAATGGTTTCCTTACCATACACATTTTCGTATGGTTCCGTCTCCAGCTCCAGCAGCATGATGTATGCCGTCGCGTACTGTGGGTCTTCCCCAAGCCCAGGCTGTGATCGTCATTTACTTTACCATCTCGCAGACCGGCGTGCATAGTATTACCCTAGTTCTAACGTTCAGTCATCCAATTGCCGGAGGACGATGTCAAAGATAATGATAATGACTTGGAGGCCAGTCTGTCAGAAGGTGATGGGCTTTTACAACGGCAGCCTTAGCGCTCAGTTCAACACGGAGGAGAGGCCATCCTTTCCGTCATGGACGAGGAAAATGTTACTACAGGTCCCAACACTGTCCCAACGGCTCACCTTGGACGCTCAGACAAAGATAGGATCAAGGCTCCATCTGGTCGCGGGAAGGAGATTTATTCGACAACGTACAAGTCTTAGCGACGTTCTACAATATACCGTCCTCAAGGCCGTCCTGATGCGCCTGGTCTCATCGGTTCTAGTTCAGGACAGTTCACTGTCGAAGAACGTCCGTTGAGCAGATCTCCATCAAATATCCACCTGACAAACGTGCAAGGTACGTATGGAGGCCAGAGTACGTATCATCAGAGAGACAGGGAATGACGGAATCGCGGTCACGACCAGTCAGTGATGGGTTTAAACAGGTTTAAACCATTTTTTACGCTTCCTGATGAAGCCAGTTTGATCGCATGGCGAATTGTGCGTTCGTAACTATCCATCCACCAGAGAGCATACGGTGCCTGATGGTCTGAAGACTTGCTACCACTGTTTATACTACAGTCGGGTTTATCGAGTATCTAATGTTTGGTTCATCTATGAGGGACGCAGTGAACTACATGCCGATCGGCTTAATGAATACTACATCCAAGTACGACAGATCAGCAGTAACTTACTAGAGACCTCAGAGTATAATTCCAGTCTCAACAAGCTTGCTATGTGGTCGCTTGTGATCACTCCATTGTGAGTTCGAGTTAGAAGATGTGCTCGAAATTTGCCTTAGGCACTCGCCCTATAAATGCCTAGTCTCGTTTATAGAACCACTCGTCCAACTTTGTCACTCTGTAGCTCGACATCATCCTTGAAGGTATCTTTGGTCAGGACCCAAACTCCGATCTGGTTGAAGACAGTGGAAAGACTACTTTGCCACCAGCGAGGATTCACCCAAGTCGGAAACTGTTCATTACCCTCGAGCGTATTCTAGTTTTGGTTATGTCCGTCACCGGCTCAATCCTTGCTTCACGATTCGGTACCCTTACGGCATTTCTTGGATCCTTCTCTGTCTTTGTAATATGTGTCACTGGACCCATACTCACTAAAATCGCCATGGCAGGCCAATGCCGTCGCCTTGACGGTACCGTGCTGGTTGTATCGAGTGTGTTGGCAATCTGGAGAGCTGTCTCAGCGTTCTGAATAGCCAGAGTCAGTATTCGGAGCATTCACAGATGGGTACACAGCTGCCTGCACTTTAGACGACGTTGAAATATACAAAACATGTATCCAGGTCGTACATAATTATTTTACTTGCGCAGCGTGTGCAATCACTTTTTGGAGTTCTGGTAGAAAACTACATCACACGGGAAATACAGGTCAGTTTGTCGAAGTACTCACGTGCTAACTTGACGTTTTCACGAATCACGACTGATTCTATCTCGTTATCGGGGTTAGAGGGGATGGAAACCGTCCTGATAGAAATGTCGAGACTCCATCCCTGCTTCTCGATCCACATTTCCAGTTCAGGGCCTGAAAACGTCAGTAACGTTCTTCCGGGGAATAAACATGTGCCCAACCTGATAGGTCAACGTATGTACCGAGTCTATCCAGACCAATTCGTGTGAAGGTCGCCTTGACTGCACGCGCGGCGACCTCCCGTATGGCTTCCTCGAAGCCAACACACTCTACAATGTAATTTTCTCTGAGCGATTCTAGTTCGTCGGAGTGGTAAAACGTCCAGAAAGCTGGGAAACGACATTGATGCAGGAGATTATAAAGATTCGTGAGTATTGGGAGAAGGACTGGCAGAGGATCCGGCTCGTCGGGATTCATGTTTACTAGGCGATCGTCTAGTAAAGATGTACAAAGATTATAGTCGGGGAATGGCTCTGCAGTCAGCGCTTTCAAGAGGATGTTGACGACAACATCAGGGTTATAAAGATCAGAATTGAACTGATACCTATTCATCATAGTGAGCAGTGTGAAGGCGTGGGCACAGTGCACATACAGTTTCAGAATGGCAAGGTTGGCGAGACAGTCATACTCCCCACTTCGAATTTGGTGGTAGAGGTAGTCCTCGAGGATGCTAACGTTGGACGGATTATAGCGGTCTTCACGGATGATCAGTCTTGTTAGTATTGTGTGTTGGTGCGTCACGCTACCCACCAACTCCTGATACCAGGTTTTCGATGAGCTCGGTTCGCGTAGAGGGCGTAAGCCATTCCGATGTAGCCGATGTCATTTTGGCTTTTTTTTGTGCCCGCACTCGCAACGTTAGAGAAACAGGTGGTATATGTAGGTTCGAGAAGTCTGAAGATCTGAGCACTGTGTAGGACCCCGAGCACCAGCTACCGTCGCGGAGTCCTCGGTGGCCCCCCTACTTCGACTTGTTCGCAGGTCGTCCGTCAGCTGTCTTCAGGTATTACTTTACGATGGACCCCGGCGCGGCGGGGCCCCGTCGGAATGCGATGTCCGTCTCTGAAGACGAAAGCCTTGAGTCGGGCAGTGACATGCAGTTCTTGCTTCAAAGTTCCAGTAATATGGCAGGCTCTTATACACATCCCCCAAGCGGCATTCCACTAGCAATCTCCGGGGAAGGACTTGAACCATCATCGCAAACCAAGCCCAACTATCGAGCGAAGTACATTCTTGGTGGGCACACTATGGCCATATCTTCCTTGAAATTCAGCCCCACTGGTACTCTGCTCGCATCTGCCGGTGCGTCGTCCACTTTTTTCAAGTTGCGTATTCTAGACAGCGTTGTCGATGAAAGCAAGCTGCCGACAAGCAGATAAAAATATGGCATGTTTATACTGGTGAAATTTTGAAGACATTTTCGGGTCATCAAGAAGGCGTGAATGATATCACATGGTCTAGCGACGGAGAATTCCTAGCTTCTGCTTCTGATGATAAGACCATTATTCTCTGGAACATAGAACTGGTAAGAGGTATACTTATTTGCAAGTCTCGTTTGTTAATCATGCCCGTAGGGCGCCGTGGCAAAGACATTACATGGCCATACGAACTTCGTCTTCTGTGTAAGCTTCAATCCCCGATCGAATCTCTTGGTATCAGGAGGGTACGATGAGACGGTACGTGTCTGGGACGTCGCTAGAGGTACGTATAGTCTTTTTCTTTAAACAAGGAAAGAAACGAGAAAGAACTACGGTTGTGATGTTTCACGAGCAGGCAGGTCAATGAAAGTGTTACCGGCACACTCGGATCCTGTGACTGCCGTTGGTTTCAGTCACGATGGCACGCTTGTTGTCTCATGTGCTATGGACGGGCTAATGTGAGTCCAGTTGAAAGTGATTGTTATCCAGACTCTGAACCTCAACGTAGTCGGATTTGGGATGCAGACTCGGGCCAATGTCTCAAGACATTAGTAGACGATGACAACCCGATCTGGTTTGTTGATATATCATCCTGATGCATCCATCTCATTCCCTCCTCAACATAGTTCACATGTGGCTTTCTCGCCAAATTCCAAATATATCTTAGCTGCAACGCAAGACTCGACGATTCGACTATGGAATTATCAGAACTCTCGGTGTGTGAAGACATACAAAGGGCACACCAATCGCACATATTGCCTTTATACGTGCTTTAGTACGGTGACTGGCCATTACATTGTCAGCGGTAGCGAAGACTGCAAAGTATACTTGTGGGACCTGCAGAGCCGCGAATTACTACAGGTTCTTGAAGGACACCGAGGTATGTTTATTGCATATCGTTGTGGTGTACGGTCTCAATACCACGCACAGACATGGTGCTGGCGGTAGCAGTAAGCACGTTTCAATACCATCCCGTGAGGCAGGAAGATGAAATTATGGGCCAACAGACTCATCCTGAACGCGCAGTCATTGCATCAGCTTCAATGGAGAAGGACCCCACAATACGACTATGGTTTGACGACGCAAACAAAAGATAATCGTAAGCGTATGAATGTTATTGGTAAGAAGTTATAAAATGCTAATTTCAGGTGCCAGATACTCCTTGTGCCATGTACAGACGTGTCCTCGCTCAAGGTGACAAAATGGCTATTTAAGTCAGGATCGATTTCCCGAGAAAACATGTATGTTAGATACTAAAGCAAGCCAACGTACATCATTGGAAGGAATACATATGTAGAAGTACAAGATACATCGTCACCCTATAGTGCAGATCCCAGGACCTTCACTGCCAACGCACGAAGTATCTGAGACCAACCATCAGTCTTGTCAATGCAGATAGCCTGATCGTAATGCGCACCTCGACTTTCTGGTCTGTCCCAAGCTCTGCGAAGACTGCGGCTACACTCTTGCCTTTGGCATCCCGAACTGCTCCTATGCGATTTCCTGCGAAAGCGCCGAGCATCAGGCCAGGGACGTTGGCCACAATGAAGCCCAGACCTAGAACATGTCAGGACCGCCGTTTGCTTGGTTTAGACAGGTAATACATACCTCCTCCGCAAGCAGCACCCACCCATGCCCACCATGGCGCATGACGCTCAACTTCCGGGCGAAGTAGCTGAAGTAACACAATCAACCTGAAGCTAAAACGGACACGTATGTCAACGATACCTCATCGAAAACATCAGCAAAGACAGTTTCGGCGTCCGGTCTTGCAGCATTGTTGGGAGTGGAGTTGGTAGAGCTTCCAGAACCAAACATGTTCGCAAACTGAGCGAAGAAGTTTGACGACGCCTTAGGGTCACCGCTCTTCGCGTTATAAGATTTCGATGCATAGAGGGAATCGTATTGTCGCCTTCGGACAGGGTCTGAAAGAACATAGTATGCATCCGCGACCGCCTGGCAGGTGTCCTCAGTCTCATCGCCACCGTAAAGCACACCATATGGAACTACCTGGAATCTCTCTGTTGCGAGCTTCCTTTCGGTATCAGTAGCCTTCGTCAGTCTGTCGGGATGGGTCCTAAGTGGCTGTCGTATTCAGAACGCGACATAAATGGAGGGAACAATAAAAGGTTCTCACTTCAAAGACTCTCTCTTGTATGCCTGCCTAATTTCCTCTGTGGTAGCTGATTTTTCAAGCTGAAGTATTGCATAGTAGTCTGGAAACGACGACATGGAGGACGTATTGAAGCACCACAGCAGCTATGCTGCGTACGGGTTCGTGACGGGCGACTGACATGCACGCGCTCCACGACCGGAGAGTCACGCGTGACTGTCCTCATGAACAGGTTCCAAGTTGATTCCAAGAAAACATTCGTCAATGTGCCAGTATGAACGACGCTATGATACGCCTCTTACACTCTAACGGAACCTCCACCAGTCATTTGTCTCACTAGGAACATTCCCCTGCCCTCATCCACACTCTTCCCACTTCTGATACCTATTACACTTTTTGGTCGTGGACGTGGAGTTGAGAGTCCAAGTTGCTTTGTTGGGCTTCCTGCAAGTTGTCTGGTCGGGCTGAGTCCCCCTCCAGTTAATTGTCTCATCATCGCTGCATCTGCACTCCGCATCCCAGTGAATTGTCGAGCAATCGTCGTCGACCCTGTGAACTGAGGAGTGACACTCTTGGAGAAAGGGCCGCTACTTGTGCTTCGGCCAGTAAATGACATGACCAGAGGTTTCTCTTCAGTAGGATTTCTCATCCGCGTAGGAAGCAGAAGCTGAGAGTCGTCGACATAAGCGTGACTCAATACACAGAAAGAGGGCCTTACAAGACATTCCCTGCACCAAACACCCCCGTCTGCGTCCCGTTTCGCAGCGGAGTCAAGTCTCTTTCCACACCCAGGCTGCGACTTATCCCTTCGAATTTTGTTCGTCTTTTTACCCCCACACACCAGGCAGGAGGCATGCCATCTGGTCCCTTGAGGCCCGGGAACAACCCCAAACTCCATGAGAGATACCGCCTTGAGACAACTGGGACAGGTGGTTGAACTGCCGAATCGCGCAGCTTGAGCTGGGGCCGTCGGGGTTGACGATAGGGTTCGCTCATAGCGCGATGAAATGGAAGGGCTACTATGCACAGTTGGAGAGCTTCTCTCCTGTGTTTGAGATTTGCTGTAGAGAGTGGCTCCTGTAGATGTCAAAGCGGTATTTGTAGCAGGCGCCGACGGTGACGATGCTCTAACTGGTGAGTCCGTGAAAACGGACTTAATAGGACTCGAGAGAATGGTAGAATTTGATTGCACTTGCTCAGGTGGAGCACACTGAATGGTAAATGAGATTTTGACGCTTGTAGAATGCACGTTTCACCTACCTCCAGATGACAGCTCCCTCCCTCATTACGTACAAACACTGCCTTGCCATTAGGCAACTCCTTGAAAGGACCATCGCATATCACACATCGAAAACATTCCGTATGATACGTCTTCGCAGGTCCGTTGGCATTGAGTTCCGGTACCGTGACGAAACGACCAGTCCCCCCACTTGCGAACAAGGAACCACCGCATTTCGCACACAGTGACCCAGGAGAAAGGGTGGCTGCAGGGATTGAAAGCCTTCTCGGTGAATCCTTCTGTGTCGGCGTCGCTGTCCCAACCAAATTTGGGCGATCCTGCAGCACGTGTGTGATAGTCGTAATTTCCTTGCTTTCAACTCCACAGTTGTCGTTGGAACGAACTCTGGGACAAAATGCCGGAGGTGACGAGGGTGCCGATGACTGCGTCATTGTGTCAGAAATATCGGGCACTAAATCGGGGGTGGAGGGTGTCCATGATATCCTTGCGGATCGCAAGCTTGAAGTACTGGCAACATGGCGGAGTGCATGCGAATCACCTGCCGAGGATGTCATCCTAGGAATCCTTGACGGCGTCAAATTGGCACGGGTCGACATCGGAGAGTGGGAGGAATTGTCGGTTGAGGAGACAGAGTCGGCTTGGTTCATAAAGCGCCTTTTCATTTCTTCTACAGCATCAAGTGAGGGTCTTCCCGACGAAGGGCTATCCTTCCCGTCAGGAGTCCCAAACCGCTGACGCACTGGCCGAGTCGGAGTAGAACCAAGTCGTTCGACGTTAACCGCTGAATCGTCACCCTCCCGGAAAGATAGGTAGGAAGGCGAGTTGAATCTGTGCCTTTCCTGTAAGCGCGGCACGAGAGGGCTATTATCATGGCTACTGGGTGGTGATTTATGCGACCGAGAGGTAGCCGGTGTAGGGGAATCCTCTCTTGTTCGATTGAGTACAGCGTTTAGCTTTTGGGTGAGTTCTTCCAAAGCGGGGCTGTCCTCTCTGCGCTTCGCGATACCCGACCTCAGCTCCAATATGTCCACGTTAGGACTGCCCTGGCAACTTGTCATGCCTACCTGAGAAGTGGAAGGCGGCTTCCTCTGACCTCTTTCAAAGCTGGGGGATTCGATAGACTTTCTAGGGGTACTGTTTCTTCGAAGATGGCTACCAAAACAGTCAGCGCAGGTGGGTTGACCCAGCAAATCTACCACGGGGGTATCTCCAATATCCTTCTGGCAACCTTTGCAACGGAAGCAACGCTTGTGCCAAACGTTGTTGTTCGCTTCCACGAATCCACCTTCGCCCCTGAGAATCAGAACTGGTCGACCACAAGCTATGCAATCGCCTTTCGACCCTCCATTAATTACGAAACACGGTTTGCATAGAAAGCGGGCAGCAGAGTCAGGGAGAGGAAAGATCAGGATAAATAGTGGCATCCGGTTGAAATTCAAAAGCACATATCGCGCAAGAAAAGGTGGCAAGGGTCTCCTTTGGTTGAAGGACCGATCCATATGCTTTCAGCAGTTCAGGTTCGTTGGGGACGCTAACAACACATGTAGAATGCGGGTCTACGGAAGAGAATGAAGGCTGGGCTGCGGTCGGCATTCCAGAGGAAGACCCCGTTGTGACGGTGTGGTAGGAACCTGTGCCTCTATTCGATAGAGGGGGCTTTGGCTCGTCGTCGGGAAGTTCTACGGTTGTTGAGGATGTGGAGCTTAACTGTATCGGAGGTCGCGCGGGTGACTTTTCCCGTGAAACGTAGATTCGAGACCACTTGTCAATAGTCTTTCCCTTCGAAGATGACCATTGTATGACAGGCGCTATTAGGCCCCATCAGCTTGCGATGGTACACTGTATCTACGCAGGAACGAACCGACGGCAGTGCCACCACATTTGCAGCGCGAACCAACGACAATATCTCCACACCTGCGACAAAATCCCATTCCTGCCGAGAAGACACCAGTCAAGGAGCGAATGATTCGTTTGAAAGTGTGGCAACGGACAATTCTAAGGTAAAGATGGAAGAGATGGCAGAGGTCATTCACCAAGTTGAAATTCAGGCAAACCTCTCGCGTGATGTGTCACGTGAACAATGTCAACCACTGCACCGATCCGTTATGTAATCGAGTAAGTGGCCAAGAGATGGTTTCCAAGTGTTGACTACGCAAAGACCTCGAGCTCAGGGCGCCATACTATCTCAACGTGCCTACAACCTCAAAACTCCGCCACAATTAGGTCCGTGACTAGTGCCTTCCACGAGAATGACGTCCTCCGCCAGTCTGTTTATGTGATTTTCAGACCATGAGATCCTCACCGTGTAATCTTCACGTAGATTCTGGACAGCTAATTTCACAATTTGGAGCCCAGGGGTTGCCAGTCAACACGTTCTACCTTCAGAAAACGTGATTTTGTCTGTTCAAGTCATGGGAAAAACCTACCAGTTCCGGGGCAAGTTGATCAATTGTGCGGACACCAAGAGAAGCCATGGCAAACTTAATCTCCCGTTCCAAAATACGCACTAAATGAATGGCTCCAGCTTCTCCGTAGGCCTTCAATATCATCAGTGACTAAGGCCGACGACAATCAGCCATGATACGTACACTCTGTGCATAGAGAAAGGCGCGGCCGAGGCCAACCGTCCTTGCTCCAAGACAAAGAGCTTTTAGGATGTCTGGGGTGCAAGTATGAACGACCGAACCGGAAACCATGAGACCATGCACATGCCTGTTCCACGACGGACACCTCCATCAATGTAAACTTCGGTCTTTGCAAACACGTCAGGGCGCTCGCAGCGGATCTTGTAAAGCACCTCCATGGGAGGTAACGAACTTGCAACGTAAGAAAAACAACCTCACTTGGCCGAAATCCCTTACTAGTCAAGTTGGCGGCCTGTGTGTTGAAACTGAGATGAGATCCTTGGATGAATGTTGTATCGTTCCATACCTCCATGGTTCGACAGCACAATACCTTCGCATCCAGCCTCAACGGCAAGAACAGCATCTGCAACACATTGGATACCTGTGGACCTATCAGTACACCAGTACTTTCAAACGGATCAGCAACTTCGCACCTTTAACGACAATAGGGAGTTTGGTAACACTTCTTATCCAAGGTATAGTCTAAAACAAATGTCCAGGAAACTTGTAAAGGATTGAAAACGTAGCTGACCTTTTCCCATGTCATGTCTAGATCATTATTGACAATCAAACCTCCAGCCGTGCCAAGCGTGCTGACGTCCCCTGACTTGTCTGCAGCATTTCCACGCGTAATCTTGCCCTCATTTTCATATTCTTCAAGATAATGTGAAGCACGGGTATCCAGTTCGCGGTTTGAAGGCACAAGGGCATCAACTGTCAAGCAAATCGCTTTGTAGCCTAGCTCCTCCACTTCTCTGATGCGTCTTGCTGCAATGTCGTCATTCTTATGTTTATACAACTGGAATAATAATGGTTGTTCCGAGGAACCTCGCGCTGCCGCGATTTGAGCGTAAGACAAGGAGGAATTCGACGAGACCATCTGCAAAATGCCAGACCTTGTAGGCAGCCCGGGTAAGGTTAACTTCGCCTAATGGGTGCCCTAGACGAGCCAATGCCGACCCGCTGATATAAACTGGTATTGAAGATTTATATCCTAGCATGGTTGTCGATGGATCAACACCAGAAACCGCTTTCATGACGCGCGGACGAAAGAAGAAGCGACTGAACGCCCGTGCGTTTTCCACGCAACCTAGAACATGTTGATACGGGTGAAAATATCAGGGGAAAGCGCGCACTGATCGAATCATCAGCTGCAGAAGCGTAGTACGCCATTGCCTTGTAGGGAAGAATTTTCTTGGCTATCTCCTGAAGTATCGCAGGTAATGTTGAGACTCCGCACCCAGAGCATAGTGTGGGACCTGCCTCAATGTCTTGGATATTAATCATCCGCCCCAGCGGCGGTTTGTTCTTGACAGCTTCCTCAACTCGAAGCTCATCTCGAGACTTTCCTTTGCTCTGGTTGGCAGCTCTAAGTTCCCGAATAGAAGCTTCGTCAAGGGTTCCCAGGTGTTTTTCACATGGAAGGTACTTGTCCAAAGTATCGGACGGGTGAATTGGGACGAAAGCTGCGGTAGCGTCTTTCCCAGCGTAGTCCATAATCACTTGTGGTCCTCCGGGGTGGTTCTAACCAATCAACTTGACCCTCAAGAAGTGAGCGAATGACTCACGAAAATGAAATCTGTCACATCATAGACCTTATTTCGTATGATAACCCAGCAGGAGCTGTCCGGAGTAAATTGAAACGGTTAAGGAAGGGGAGTGTATCTCCCTACCTGGTGGTGTTGCACTCGGCAACCTGTGCAAGTGTAAAGGTTGACATGGTATCTTAGCGCCAGTGTCTGAAAGATCCTTTTGGCTAAGAAGGACACTGGGAACACGCGTTCGTGAGTGAACAACAACTCGGAGGGCCCACTCGACCCTGATCTGGGGTTAGGTGTAGCAGAAAGTCACGTGCACGCAGCTGTGGGTCGCGTTGTTTGTTCAACCGTCTTATTGTATACACCCTGGCCTGCCTCAAGCAAGCCGACTTTCCCTCGTCACGCCGATGGGTCCGGTACCAGGTAGAGAAGCCTTGGAGGCTATGAAACGAACTGATATTCAGAAATTATGCAAAGTCAGCGAATTCTGGATCTCGTTCCGTTTTGCTCAATGACCAACGGCATGCCACTCTTTAGGATTATGGTGTAAAGGCGAACCTCAAGACAGAGGCACTCATCGATCTTCTTCTGGACGCTTCGAGGTGAGCTGTGCCGTTTTATCTGTGCCGTTCCGTCAACTCACCGATACCAGACCGCAACCCTCCCGCTCCAACCCACCGCAACCTCCAGAACGGTCTACTTCCAGGATTTCCAGTCACTCGGGGATCCGCCGTGGTTCGTTGATCATCCACGGCGCTGGAAATGATATCATAGAGGAAGGCACTTCAAGTCCTGTGGAGGAAGTCAAGCCGCCGCCGCCGCCTTCCCCTCGACAACTTCCTCGCACACGGAAAGCTAAGGAATCGCAGTACCGGCTCGGAGTCGGCCGTCCAGTAGTAGCCGGTGGAAGTGGAGCTCGTTCCATCACGAAATCAGTCAGCGTGTCGCGAAAATCGAAAAGGGGTAAGAGCAGTACATCCGTAAAGCCGTCAGAAGCAACCATCACAGAAGGTAATGCGACAGCAATTTTATGCGTCCCTCCTTCATTGAACGCTTCCAGAACCAGAAATGGAGTGTACATCTCCCTCTCCTTGTCAGTAGGCTCTACTCCTGCTATTCGAACACCATTCACTCTTAAATGTCACAGCGAAGAGATATGCCAACAAAGATGATTCTGGTGTGACTACAAATGGTGGTCTGCAATCGGAACCGGTCGTTTCGAATGAACTTGTGCAGTCTGCAGTCGCAAAAGCCGTAAGTGCATAAGAAGCTCGCATTTCATTCGTTTTCCTTAGGCACCATTTCTTACTAGCTTGCTCCCGTCCAAAAAGAACTCGAACTTCAGAAGACTCAGTTGTCCGAACTCAAGGATAAAGTGTCCGGCATGATCGCCTCCTTCGAAATTCGCATTCGTGACCTCACATCCGAAATACGTGACCTTCGTGCAAAGGCGGTGGGTGCGACCGCAGACACACGGGATGCTGGCCCATCTGCGCGAATTCCTCAGCCCCCCTCAACGCCAAAACGCGTTTGGACCCCTCATCGGTCGTAGTAAGCCAAGTTTTCGAAGCTGTATATAGTGCTAACCGCGGCATAGCTTTGCTTTCGGTGAAAAGGGTGGTCCTTCAGAGCTTTTGAGCGATTCCTCTGATCGCGGTGCGCATGCGCACTCTGAAGCGGGATCTGGTCTCAATGTGAAACCCGCTCAAAGTGGTGTTCTTCTCCCGGGGTTCGCACAATCGACACTCGGGAAGCGTGCCCGGGACTCGACTTCAGAGGAAGACGCGGAATTACGTGGGCCTGCGGGCTCCGCTGAAACCGAGCTCGAGATCCGCATTGGTCGCTCCGCATCAAAACGCGCGAAATCACATACAGATGACAGTGAAGATGTGCGAACTACACAGCAGAGACAGTCCCAACCCCTTTCCTGTATAGGAGAAATCGATGAAGTTCCCGAGCTTGAACCTGCGATTAAATCCCTTCCAGAACTCTCCTGTGGACCTTCATCGCCGCCTCCCACGAATGTGCCAGCCGCGAGCTCCGACCAGTCCGACAGCCAGAACGCGTTTCATTTTAACTTTCTTCCTACTACATCCACACCAACTTATGCCGCATTTCCGCTTTCAATGGGAATGTTCCCACTTCCAGAACGCCCTATATCACCTTCCCCTGCAAGCAATGCGGAACGGGGTCAAGTGGAGGGCTTTGGATCTTCCACCGTTCCACAGGCGAGTTCGCGATCAAGTAGTGGGCGAGGTGTTTCGGGAGACTCTCAGATGTATACAGAAGCGAGTGGATCTGGGGGTGTTCGAAGAGTGCCGTCAAGCAATGAGGTAGCAACGGGGACTCGGGCTGACGGTCATCAAGACTTCGGCAACCGACCCGGAGACCCCTGCACCGCCGGCCAAACGCACCATGTATGGCACAGAGTTGGAGGCTGATACGCGATTCGGTGACTTTGGCGTAGAGGGCGTTGCGTCTGGTTTTTGGGCTAAAAGCAGATTTTGACAGATGTAGGATTACCAGTGTACTCTAATTAGTGTAGACCCAGCGTACGTGTGCCTGCGTACTTCCGTAGATCCACACTCTTCGCTTCTACTGATAAGGTTTTCTGTGTCTTTTATGTAATTCATAACAAACAGCATTTTTGTCATCTGAAGGAAAGTTTTCTCGAAACGAGCCTTCCACTCTCCAAATCGGAAGTCCGCATATCTGACCCTCTATTACAGAGAATGGAGCAATTCCCTGCAGCGGATGGGACTAAATACTTACCACATCTGATCAACTTTGGAGGTTCAGCAGCTTCTGTTGGAAATATGATAATATGTCCAATGTCTAGGTTCATCTAGACATACACATTTTGATACATGTGTTCTATCACATGACTTGCCTTAGCAATCAGCTCCACAGTGATGTCAGAATGACATCACTTATTGCATCATATTCCATAGCATTCTCTGCTATTCCTTACTATAGGTAGTAACTGTTTCCATTTACATTACTGGTCTGTGCATATGAAAACTCACAGAAATCTATAATGAGATCTCAGTTGAGTGTGTGAGTGGCAAATGTCTATATTTGCATTACCTATAACGAGATCTAAGGTAACGACATGAGTGCAAAGTACATGAACATGGAACAAGACACTATACCCACCTCAGTTGAGTGTGCGAGCAGCAAATGTCCGAGGTGGTGTTACTACAGTAGTGAGTTAAGTATGCTATACGAAACAAAAGGGGTGAGACATGGGTGTTGAACCCAGTGTTGAAACTACAAGCATGGTCATAGCGCAAGTCCTTGTACCATTAATTTATACGTATGAAACATTTGAAGACAATAAAACAAAAGTTACCGTGCTGTATTGTCAGCGCTCGAGAATGACTAAGTATTTTCGTCTTGTAGACCTGTAAACAGGAAGTGTTTCCCATGGTAAGGAAAAGTAGTGTCAATTAATGAACAAAGACTATGAGCGACTTGCCAAATCTAACACTCCCCCTCAAGTTGGACGTAGGCCGAGTTCAACTGCGAAATGCTTCACCTTCGGAGACAGCAGCACCTTCGTTAATGTATTGGTGATCATGTCTGCGGTCGGGCAATATATGAGGTGAATTTTGCTGTTCTCTATGACCCAGTGAATGAAGTGAAAATGGATATTGATGTGTTTGGTGCGTGCATGATACTGGTGGTCTTTGGTGAGTGCAATGGCTGATTGATTATCAGAAAACAACGTGGTTGGCTCGACGAATGGCTGAAAAAGCTCTCTGATGAGCGACTGAAGCCACAAGGCCTCCTTGGCCACTGTGAGTCAAAGTGTGGTTCAGTGGTGAAAACCAACCAAAACCAACACAAAAGACAATGAAAGCGAGTGGTGGTGTGCCTATGCGGTACCTAGATGGTAGAACCTGTTCTTTGGGAGGGTTTTTGCGAGCTACAACACTCAAAGATGAGTGCTGAGGGTTGGGGGTGCTCCTGACGAAGAGGGAGCAAGAATGTGATAGAAAGCGATAGGGTAGACTGCTGTCAGCCTACAGAAGGATGGATGGTGACTTAATTCGATGTCCTAAGCTGTACTGAGCTCAGGGAGGGCTTGGAGCGAAGTATATGGAGGATAGATGATGATAAGCAAAGTAGATGATAGCTAGACCCTTAATAAAGTCTCAACTATTGAAGCTGATGAATGATTTACTGAGAGATGATAAATTGCGAGCAAGAGGGGCTCTCTGATGTCTTCTTTTTTTTGCTACCTAAGTACAGTGACTTATATACAGTACAGGGGCGTTGCCTATGGAAAACAAGGTGCAAACACTTGGTAAGTGATTGGTAACTGATGAGTAAGGAATGTAAGTGATGGGTAATCATCTTGGAAAGCATTGGTAAGCATTGGTAAGGATAAGTAAGCCAAAAAGCAAAGAATCAGTAAGCAAAGTCAAAAGATTGGTAAGTATTGGCAATAGGTGAGTCAAAGACAGTCAGAATGTCACAGTATGAGTCAAGCAATGTCAGGAACTGGGAAAGTGCACTGGAATCGCATTAGGGGGAGGCTGTGCATGTCACATCTTGAAGAGATCGCTTCTAGGCCAAAGTGGGATGACAGAGAGGCAGCGCTGATCTGATGCCGATATAGTACATCCAAAAGCGGACAGGGTGAGTCAGATGTCAACAGGGGTCAAGCTTTGGGGGTCTGTGGGGTGATAGGAGCATAGGGGATCGCAACTTTCCCCCCCAAACCATCCTCTCAGTGAAGCAAATAAAAACTTCATGAACGAGGCTCTGTTGGAAGAGAGGATGAAGGGGGAGCGTCTTCTGCTGTATCTTGCAACAAGGAGGCAAGATGTGCATCATACTCATCATGGATGCGATCAGGGAGAGTGGAGAACAGTAGATTATACTGTAGCTGTCGCAATTTTGGAAGAATGACGGACAAGACTGGTATGAAGACGTTGCAGGGGGCAGGGAGGAAGGATCCATATGCTTCTTGGACTGGAGAGACTGAAATGACCACATAAGACCTTTCCAAGTGAATGACAGACCTGAGGTGACCAAAGAACGTCCTCCTGGAGGTCATACTGACAAAAAGAACACGCTGTCCAAGCTGGATGGGCTGAGAGGGGGCAGATGAGGGTGGGATGTACCAGGATGCTTCAGGACAGAAGCTGGTAGGAACTCCTGGTAGATATATGTAGCCATGGTCCCTAGCAAAGGGGACAAGCGAAATGACTGATGTGGAGGCAGCCATATCAGAAGAATTAGCGAAATGAGCGTCTTTTGGAGGGAGTGCTGTAGAAACGTGTGGAGTGCGCAAATCCTTTCCAATCCTGGAAGGTAGGATTGCGTGGCTGAGCACTACAAGCGAGTGTGGGAATGGTTTTGGTGTCTGCAGAACTGGTGGAGATACATCGAAAACTGGAATGCCGTACACAGGCGCTTAAGAATTTTATTGGCACTTAACTTGCCTCCTCCTTTTTCTTTGCTATTGACAACTTGTTCTTGTGCGAGGGATGACTGCCGACATTGCTGGCTGTCCTTCTTTGCATGAGGGCTATGGTCTTCACCTCCATTCATCAGCTACATCCATGTCCACCTCACCAAACACCTTTGGTGTGTGACACCGAGTCATCCACAATGGTGTGCATGATGGAACAAGTGCAGTGGTCGAGACCATCACCATCATGGAACTCCATCGCAGGATGGGACATATTTCACCCACTGTTGCTTGTTGCAACAGGTGAGAGCGATGGGGCCGTGTTGGTCACTGCGATGGGAGCTGGAGGCATTAACATTGTGTTTGGTAAGTACCCTTCTTCTTCCTCCCCCTTGTGAGGTAACGACTCAGCAGAGGAGGGATCCCAATACACATTTCTTTCAATTGTAACTGACTTCTTTTCAGGCCAGTACACTTGGCAGCCATTGGGGCTGTTATCGTCGATTCCAACCCAACGACCCTTGACAACACGCCCTCCCAGTTTGGTTCCTCCCTCGGTACGTACCCATACACATGAGCCCCATGTGCGTACCTGACTAAGGTTGGGTTTCTGTCCTGTAGCGGCTTCGAGAGGGGTTCCACCCTTGAGCGCTTTTGTGGGTGTCCGATTTTTCAACCAGACAGCATGACAAATGGCCTTGCCCCATAGGGCGCACAGTAAGCCACTCTCGTGCAGCATAGCTCTGACCTTTTCCAGCAAGGTACGATTGAGGCGTTCAGTGATGCCATTGTGTTGCGGGGTGTCATGAATGGTAAGTTTTTGCTTCATGCCGCTTTCCTTGAGGTGCATGACGAATTCTTTTCCTAGATATTCACCTCCATGGTCGGGGTGCAAGACTTTGATGACAGCATTGTGTTGGGTGTGACACCAGGCCTCGAAGTCCTTGTAAGCTGTGAAGGCTTCGCTTTTCTGGCAAAGGAGGTGGATGTGCGTGAGGCGAGTCTTATCATCTGTAAAGGTAATGTAGTAATGTCTTCCTCCGAGTGTTTCAACAGGAGCTGGTCCCCATACGTCAGTGTGGACCTCAGCAGTGAACTCCATGGCACATTCACCAGTGCGCTCCTTGGCGATGGGTTTTCTAGTGGCCTTTGCATAGACACAGGCTTCGCAGAAAGTAGGTTCATCCTTTGACAGGTTGAATTTCAAACCTGACATGAGCCCATTCTCAGCCAGGCAATGAGCAACAGTGGGTGAAATATGTCCCATCCTGCGATGGAGTTCCATGATGGTGATGGTCTCGACCACTGCACTTGTTCCATCATGCACACCATTGTGGATGACTCGGTGTCACACACCAAAGGTGTTTGGTGAGGTGGACATGGATGTAGCTGATGAATGGAGGTGAAGACCATAGCCCTCATGCAAAGAAGGACAGCCAGCAATGTCGGCAGTCATCCCTCGCACAAGAACAAGTTGTCAATAGCAAAGAAAAAGGAGGAGGCAAGTTAAGTGCCAATAAAATTCTTAAGCGCCTGTGTACGGCATTCCAGTTTTCGATGTATCTCCACCAGTTCTGCAGACACCAAAACCATTCCCACACTCGCTTGTAGTGCTCAGCCACGCAATCCTACCTTCCAGGATTGGAAAGGATTTGCGCACTCCACACGTTTCTACAGCACTCCCTCCAAAAGACGCTCATTTCGCTAATTCTTCTGATATGGCTGCCTCCACATCAGTCATTTCGCTTGTCCCCTTTGCTAGGGACCATGGCTACATATATCTACCAGGAGTTCCTACCAGCTTCTGTCCTGAAGCATCCTGGTACATCCCACCCTCATCTGCCCCCTCTCAGCCCATCCAGCTTGGACAGCGTGTTCTTTTTGTCAGTATGACCTCCAGGAGGACGTTCTTTGGTCACCTCAGGTCTGTCATTCACTTGGAAAGGTCTTATGTGGTCATTTCAGTCTCTCCAGTCCAAGAAGCATATGGATCCTTCCTCCCTGCCCCCTGCAACGTCTTCATACCAGTCTTGTCCGTCATTCTTCCAAAATTGCGACAGCTACAGTATAATCTACTGTTCTCCACTCTCCCTGATCGCATCCATGATGAGTATGATGCACATCTTGCCTCCTTGTTGCAAGATACAGCAGAAGACGCTCCCCCTTCATCCTCTCTTCCAACAGAGCCTCGTTCATGAAGTTTTTATTTGCTTCACTGAGAGGATGGTTTGGGGGGGAAAGTTGCGATCCCCTATGCTCCTATCACCCCACAGACCCCCAAAGCTTGACCCCTGTTGACATCTGACTCACCCTGTCCGCTTTTGGATGTACTATATCGGCATCAGATCAGCGCTGCCTCTCTGTCATCCCACTTTGGCCTAGAAGCGATCTCTTCAA